AGACACATGGTATCAGAGTACAAAGTAGAATCTTTTCTTTATGTTTCTTCAAGTGTACAGTAAAAGGAGTTGTCCTGTTGTCTATTATTAGCCTTAATAATATTACCTTTCACATATCATTTTCAATGCCTAGGTGTACGCCCTCTGTTTAACTCTTTACAGAGGTAGAAAAATAAAACACTCAAGTTCTTTGTTTAGAGCCTGTTTTACCGGGGTTACACTGACAGGCTCTTATACTATTTTAATTGACATGAGTAAGACACACCCATGTCCACGAATGATGCCTATGATAGAGGATACAGCAGTTCTATGTTTAGAGCACTAAACAGTAGACAAAGTACAGCAAGACTGGGCCATTAAAAACTGCTGACATACTTCAACTGATTTTCCAATCCCTGTATACCTTAAATTAGATTATATATTTCCTGACAAAACAAAAAACAGACTTATAGTACAATGTATAACTTGTCTTTATATGTTTGAAGGTAAATCTTAGGTAAAAAAACAGACATTGAAAGAAAATACAGCTTGATCTTTAGCTTAAGAAAAATTAAGCAATAATGCAAATTGCTGCCGTGCATTAAAATGAATTTGAAATTTGATAATGAAACAAAGGCAACCCCAAATTATCAGTAAGAATATAGAAAAAAAAACCCATTGCAATGATGAGACACTAATTTTTCTGAGTTAACAACCATTGAATGGCTTCAAAAGTGTAAGACTAACTAAGCATGGTGGAGAAGAACAGAGCTACAAAGAAAATGAACGTGAATAAACAAGCATAGAAAAGATAGAAATAAGATTGAAGAATTAAGGCAATTAAGCCATTAATTTAGCCTTAACTGCTATGTCAGGGGTGTTTCACTATGAAAAATTTAATTTATTCCAAGCTTATGGCTTAATCTGGGTCTGGGAAACTGGCTCCTAAGTCTAAATGTATGTAATATTATAATGAAAGACAAAAGGATATTAATAAACAGGAATAACTTATTGCTACTTGTTACTGAAGAATCTTGTGAGTGCTAGAAGGGTGACTGAAGATAAGGCTATTGCTACAGCTTTAAACACAGCTTTAATCTCTTCCTTTTCCTTGATCTTCTTCTGGGCATTGTAGAACATCCTGTAAGTGTAGCGCTGCCCACCATTTGCCCTGGTCATCTCATCTACCTTCTTCATCAGCTTGGTGACTTGTGCCTTGTAACTGTACATGATTTAGCTTCATAAAACAGTGCAGTATTCCTGTTTGCTTTGTATTAAGTCACGTGGTTGAAATAATTTTTCTCTAGTCTGTATTTTATTATACAAGTTTAAAAAAAGTAAACCAAAAGTAATGGAAAGTAATCAGATTACGTTTATATTGTAATTCTTTGGATTAGGTTACAGGTTTCAATTTTTAACATGTAAGGCAAGGCAAATTTATTTATACAGCACATTTCATACACAAGGACAATTCAGTGTGTTTTATATTAATAAAAGCAAAAAGAACATTAGAAAAATAAAGGCAAAGTGTTTAAGATTGAAAAACAGTAAAAATAAATGGGTAGCACTTTTTTATGGTGCAGTACAGAGCTAGTGTTTAACAGGTAAATATGTGGTACTTACCCATAATTGTCTGGTACATATTTTGCACTTACATAGTAATTTACATAATGCAAATTTGTAAATATAAATATAAATGTACTTTGTACTTGCAGCTACATTTACTTAGAATTTAATAGGTCAATATAAAGTACTTGAAGTCATTGCAGGTACATACTTTACACATACTTATTAACTATTTCAAATGATAAGGTATGCATAACAATACCTACTCAGAATTTAATAGTCAATATGTAGTACTCACAAGAAGTATTTGATGCACAATTCACAAATTCAGTATGTAAGTATAGAGTATCTAATGTGTGAAATACCAGGTATTTCAGCTGTTAGTGAAGGACATGCATAAATGATAGACAAGTACAAAGTACCATTTAAATTTAAATTACACTCATTAGATTCTGTTCTGAACTGTGTTTGAATCGTTACTAAACTTTCTGCTGTTTGCTTTTTGGATTTAGTAGCTTAATGATTTGTTCAATTTGTGTACATTATATAGATATTCACCTGTATTGAAGATCTTGTTTCACTAGATTTTTACAGTATATTTCCATTTTTGCCTTAATCCTGTCTGTTGTTTTTTTGCTTAGCTTACCGTTTACCTACCCTTTACCATTGTTTTTAACCAACATCTGATAGACAGATATGTCTAAATACATGTGTATATATTATTCATAACACATTTGTATATGGATCATTCTACCAAACTAGTTCAAAATCGGAGTTGAAAGCATATTAACCTAGGCTTCAGACTAAAATACTTTTTGCTTTGAGTGACCCCATACCTTAGTTATGTTATTTTATTAAAATATATTATTGAACATTGCAGTTTGTCATTAATAATACAATAATAACACTACTGAAAATTTACCAAATGTTAGTGCCTGTTTTGGCAGTGACAATTTTAGCTCATTTCAAGCAGAATTTAAATAATAGTATTCATTAATTGTCAAGATCAACAGTACAATAAGTACAACTTATTAAAAAAGGTAGGGCAATTCCACATGGACAACGCAATGAGAACTCACAGCATTGAGACTAAGCTGTTTAATCAAAAGAAAACAATTTATAAGTGAGGCTAATCAGAAAAAAGGCTTCAGTTTGTTAGGGAGCTTAAGAACTGGACTCTGGAAAAAGAAAGTCAGCTGAATACCTTAATGTACCAAATGACCAGGTTGTCCCATCAGTATATATATTTTTTTCCTGATGTCACGGGCGCCAAGTTTCATTAGGCTTAAATTGTGAAAGAGAGGTTCAGGGAGTATGAGGAATGATTTACACATGAGTTTGCCACCACACAGTCCTGACTTGAACCCCATTTAAAGTTTTTGGGGTGTGCTGGAGAAGATTCAATGCAATACCTTGGTGATAACCATGGTGAGTATTTTTTTATTTTTATTTTATCTTGCCTGGCAGTGAGGATCATACCACAATCCCATAAACACATAAGGTCTGAATGCTTGTTTTTTTACATAGTTATTTTTGCTCTGGGACTGCATTTTGAATTTATTTGGTAGAAAGGTCCATGTATACACTACACATGTATATTATTCAGTGTGATTTACATTCAGCAGCAGACATGGTAAAATTTCTAATCACAAGGGTAATAATTTCACAACTACCAAATGCAGACATGCAAACATATGAGCAGTGAAAAATTGGACAAGTTTAGAAACTAACCCCTTGTACAGGATGCAGAAGCTTAACTATATATAAAATGTATTTAATATATTTATTTAATATATTATTTCAGGTACTGAAAAACAATTCTCCACATATATTGGCATCCCTAGGAAAATGAGCAGAACAGGATTCTTTTTTTTTTTTACCCATTTCATCTTTCATTCAAACTTTTAACAAAAATCTATTCTTTATGAAGTATGATGACTGAAAGAAAATAACAGTTGTATCATGAAATAAATTGTTCTTGATGTACTTGGAATTGTATTTATATGGGTGTATAATATTTGGTATTAACCCCTTAAAAAGTTTTATTACACTTCAATAACCTAAGAATAGCTCAGCCAGTTTGCATTAAAATCCTTGTTGTTACTTAATAATAAGCCTTAATATATAACAATACTGGGATTTTAAGGAGTTAATTCAAATTATATAGCACACTTCACAAACCTCAAGTTGGCTAAAAAAAACAAGTTTCAGCCTTAAGTCACCAAATATGCATAGTCTACTTTATAAATAGCTTCAGACTGAAATATCTCTTGGTTCTTTTAACCATTACTATTTTTTATGTTTGATTCTAAAATTTCTGAATGTGATTCACTTTAACTATGTCATATACTATAATGCACCTGTTATAACTAAATTTTATAAATGTTGGGACAGGGACAATTTAAAACTCGGAACATTGTTAAATTTTTAAAAGAGATAATGTAATCACGCCTGGTTAGGAGAATCCAAAAAAGGCAGAGTTCTGTGTATGCCAGTATGGGTTAGGCTCACTGTTGCATTGCAAAAAAATGGCATGCTTCTGTGATAGATATCACCACGTGGGTTCAAGAATACTTAAAAAAAGGTTGTCAGTAAACATTGTTCATTGCTGAATCTACAAATGCAAGTTAAGACCATACTATGTACTGTAGAAGTCATATGTCAACAATGTCCAGAAATACTGCCAACTTCACTGGACTTGAGCTCATCTGAAAAGGACTGATGCTCAGTGGAAATATGTATTGTGGTAAAAAAAAAAAAAAAGTAATAACTATCCAGATTGTTACCAGCAGAAAATTCTAAAGAGTCACCATGACAAAGATAAAAAATATTCTGAGTTTGTTACAACAGCATGGCTGTGTAATCAGAGAGTACAGGTGCTAGACTGACCTGTCTGTCTCTTATTGAAAATGTGTGGTGCATTATGAAATGCAAAATAGAACAATGAAGGGCCCAATAAGATTACAAAGCTGAAGAATTGCATCACTGGATCAAGTGGTGTCTTCAGTCCACAAATGATTATGAAAAGTGCCATGGTTTTTCATATTTTTGTCTCAGAAGTTTGAACCCCTGGTCGTAGAGAACATGACATTTATTTCCCTACTAGTGTCACATTCTGCATATTTTTTTTTTTAATACAGTTTAAACTAATATTATTTTTTTTTTACATAGTATTGACTAGTCACTGCTTTCTATTTTATCAGCTTTTCACATACTGTCCCATTTTTTTTGGTATTGGGTTTGTAATTTTGGGCCATTTATAGTGGTCCATTTATCATAAAATTTTACCCAATGTAAAGGGAAACTGGAGTTTTAAAATTTTGCAAAATAGAGAAAAATGAGAGACACTGCTTTTTTGTGCAACAGCAATGATATATAGATTAGTAGATTGCATTTAACACAGCACTGTGGTAACACTCTCTCTGTGAGTTACTTCATTATTACTTTTACTTTATTACTTTATTTAATTTCCTTTCTTTTCCTCTGCAGACTGCTTCCTTAAGTACCATGCTGCTGCCAGTGCTCCCGCTGCTAAAGCTATTGCACCTGCTGCAGCCCCAGCCACTTCTGCTTTTACTTTTGCCAATTCAAATCCTACCAAGATTGCTGCTGCTGTCCCTCCTCCTGCAACTGCTGTCACTCCTGCAACTCTACCTATTCCAGCAGATTTCTTTTTCTGTAACTCTTTCTGAGCTCGTTCATACATGTCTTTGGTATACATTTGGCTGTCATTCCTTTTCTTCAATTCATCTATCTTTTCTAGCAGCTCTGTGACTTGGTCCTCATCATCATCTTCATTTTCAAAAACATGACATTCAGCCATAGAATCAGCTAGTATTTTCAAGTCTGAACCTCTTTTCAGGTATTTGTCTATTGTTTTCTCATTTTGTTTCAACACGCTTCCATGAGTGAACAGCGCAATTGTGTATTTTCTGACATTCTGTCCAAAGTTCTCCTCAAACCACTCCACAGTCTTCTTCTCTTCGTCTGTGAACTTTATATCCAGTCTGAACACCAGCAGGAACACATGAGGACCAGGAAAAGCAAGTTCCAGGGCGTTTTCCAACTCAGCTTTCATTTCTTTTTCAGATTTCCTTGTATCAAAATGGCCTGGAGTGTCAATCACACAGACTTTTCGTTCCCCAACATTGCTGCTAAATCTCTCACTTTTCTTGGTGACAGATTCATGGGAGGACTCCACTTTAAATGCCAGACGTCTAAGAATGGTGTTTCCTGTTGAACTCTTTCCTGATCCAGTTTTACCCAGAAGCACAATCCTCACATCAGAATCTGTAGGAAAAGTATTTATGGAAAACAAAAACACAAAACAAAACAGTTTACTTTTGATATTAAGTCGAATAATAGTAATTGAGGGAACAGTTTAGATTCTGCAATATAGATAAAAAAACAGCAAAAAAAAAAAAAAAAAGAGATATTACAATGCAAACAACCCCATGTCAATAGACAGTATGTTTTTATTTTTGCTCTGGTAATCAGCCAGGCTTAACTAAAGATACTGTAGTTAGTAGTGGGTGTGGCAAAAGAGTGGCTAACAAAAAATTTCAAAGACACAGGAAAAACTAGTAACATTCTATGAATACCAAGAACACTTTATTTGGATGGTCCATTTTTGACAGTAAATTGAGTATCCATTAACTATCAATTAAATGTCACATAGCTACTCTAGGACCATTAGTTTCTTCTGCCATGAGTGTTATCAACTTATACAGACAGTAAGATGAGTGTCAACTATATCTCAAAATTGGTTCTTTTGCAAGAACAACAAAAAGTAATCAGCTATATATAGCAACACTTTATCTTTTGATTATCAACTAAATGTAAAGAGACATTCATATATCTCTTTTAAACCTGCTGCAGGTCAGTTACATGTCAGCTCACTCTTTTGTATCTTCACTATATCACATGTATCACATGTTTGTTGACACTCAAAAGACCATCTATTATCTGTCTTGTAATTGTCATTTGGACCATCCAAATAAAGTAAAACAGTGAGATTTTTTTTTTTTTTTCAACCACACATGAGTCAAATCTCAACATGGTGTACCAGGGGTCACCATGATCAACTCAAATATAGCCTTTTTATTTACTATCCAAAACCACCAGTGAACCTACACAAGTCTTCTGACTTTTTATGTGCAATTTAGATGTCCAGCCTTCCCCCAACTCAGCTGCTTCTTTACAGTCTCTACAGCTCTTAAACTACAGTTCCCAAAATTTAGAGGAGGATCACCTGACTCAGAAATCTCAGGCACCAGCCTATCCCGGATCAGCTTTGCTCAATTATTAATTCTCCACACCTATGTCTAGTCCTATATATATTGTCTGGATCACACAATACATGTTCGAACAGGGTTAAGTTCAATAAAATGAACTTTAAAAAATTAATGCAGCCTCATCATTTAAGTGAAGTTGAAAGAATTAAAACTGAATAAGATGATGCAATCACTGCAGCTAGACAGAATGAAAAAAGGAAGGAAGTAATTACTTTTTAATGTTTAGGATGAGTTCAGAGTATGTGGACTTCATGCTAAATGACCTATCTAAATGCTTATTTCATTCTTATTTAAAATGTTTTTGAGGCTGTTCAGAAATAAAAGTAAGTTGACTGACATGTATATATGGATATGTTGAAATGTGGATGCAACTAAACCCCTCTCACTTGTCTTAGGTGGTCCAGATGCACATCTTGATACTAAAATGAATTGTCAGACAATCAGTGGATAAATTACTTACTCTCTGTTGGTTGTCAACAGAGATACAGTGTACACCATGTTGAGAGTTGACTGATGTGTGGTTGATAATAAAAAAAAATGCTGTTTTACTTTATTTGAATGGACCAAATTACAATTAAAAGACAGATAATAGATGCTTTTTTGAGTGTCAACAAACATGTGATACACATGATATAGTGAAGCTACATAAAGTTGAGACTCAGCTGACATGCAACTGACCTGCAGCTGACCATACTGATTTTTGGCCACTAAATATTACTAGGAGGCTTAAAAGAGGTATATGAATGTCTCATTACATTTAGTCATTAAGATCAAATCAAAATCAGAAGATAAAGTGTTGTTATATAAAACTGATTACTTTTTGTTGTACAGCTTTCTTGCTATAGAAATAATGTTGAGAAATAGTTGACACTCATCTTACTGTCTGTATAAGTTGATAACACTCATGGCAGAAGAAACTGATGGTCCTAGAGTAGCTATGTGACATTTAATTGATAGTTAATGGATACTCAATTTACTGTCAAAAATTAACCATTCAAATAAAGTAATACCTCAATATGATATTATTAAAGTATATTATATTTTCAAGACTACTTTCAAGTTTATTGTCATATGCAAACAAATTGTACAGTGATACCTTTGTTGCTCCTCTATATTTTCCAGGTTATGAATTAGTAACATTATCACACTCCTTTATGTTTCCTGGACGTTGCGTCCTCTGGACCAAAGACCTAAAGAGCTGGCTTGTTATCAGCCCACAGTTTAAAAGCCAGCATCCGTGATGGTATAGAGGTGCATTAGTGCACATGTTCATGGGTGACTCGCACATCTGTGAAGGCACCACTAATGCTCAATGATATATACGGGTTTTGGAGCAACATATGCATATGTCTTTTTCAGGGAAGATGATTATAACTTTATCCACAACACAATGTAAAACATGCACAATAATCTATGGAATGAACTCTATCAGTAGTGTAGTATTAAAAGCTATTTTTTAACAGCTGTATTAAGGGATATTATGAGACAATTTCTGAATTCTTTGAATTTAAAGCATTTATTTGACCTCTGATCAGAAACTTACATTTCTAATTTCATCCATGACTACATTTTCAATCAAGCCCATTTTGGCAGGAAAACTGTGAACCTGGCCACTCTGAGGAAAGTGCTGGAGATCTTCATGCAGTGGTAATAAATTAGAGTGGTCGTTTGTAAGATAAAATGGGGGAAGTAAAATAATACTGTAATGACAAAAAATGTTAATAATAAAAGGAGTTTAAGAGAAAATACATTTTTATCATGTAACATGTATGTATCTATTATGTTTTACTTTATTTTTTCATCACTTTCCCCTCTACTTGTTATGTCTGTTTATGGTGTTGGACAAAATTCAAAGAAAGAATGTGCACATACATACTCCTTTAGAGTCTGACACAAGTGAAGAACACAAGAAAGATCCCTAAAGAATAAAGGCAAATGTCCGCACACTGATTAAACAAAGCTCCCCTTTTTATTATTGCAACGTTTCAACCACTACAGTCTTGGGTTTATATGTTGTTTGATCACCACCCTTGGGTTTATAAGTCACACAAATTTAAAACAGTCCACCAAGTTTAGTGCAAATAAATCAATAAGGGGTGCTATGAAATGCAGATGTCTGTTTCTCAGACACTGTTTCCCTAATAAGCTGAACTTTTGCATGCTGCATCTTTGGTGTACCTCATAATTGAGCTCTTAAAAAAGTAAGGCATGCATGTCAACAACATGATGCTTATATCCTACAACCTTGGTGAGATTCTGAAAGTAATTATACAAGCAATACTGGTGACCTGTACAAATGTCAGGAACTCATAAGGCCTCATTTCATTCAAATGTATATTAAAATACTTCAGTACAGCAGAGAAAACATATAGTGCCAGTGGCAATGATTGTGGCAGTTCTTAATTTTTTCTTCTCCATGTTTTGCTTCTCAATCTTCTTTTGGTTCATTCTTTTCCTTAATTTTGCAGTACATTGGACAACTATAGTAATGTCCATCATTTCTCATCACCAAGTCATGTATCTGCTCAATCAGCTTACTGAGCTGGAAGTGGTTCCTTCTGTCAAAAACATAATATTTGTCAGAAAAGTTGGCAGTGAATTTCTGAAGCTTGAAGAAATCACTTTGAAAGTCTGGCCGTTGTCCCCTTTGTTCACCATTAAATATCACCATTGTGAATTTCTTCAGAGCTTCTTCTCCAAAGTTTTCCTGAATCCACTTCACAGCGTTTCTCTCCTCTTCTGTGAATCTCACACCAAGTCTGATCACCAGCAGGAACAAATGAGGACCAGGAGAAGACAGAAGGACACACTTGACTATTTCAGCTCTCAGTTCTTCTTCAGTCAGTGATGTATTAAAAATCCCTGGTGTGTCAACCACAGAGATATTTATGTCTTCTCTTCTAACTTCATGTTTCTCACATTGCTTTGTTACAGAAGTTGGTGAGAAGTCCACCTCAAACACTTCTCTGCCCAGGATGATGTTTCCTATTGTACTCTTTCCTGATCCAGTCTTACCCAGTAGCACCAGCTGCAGATCTGTAAAGATCCATTTTTTCTGTTAGTCAAGTAGAAAATCTCTAGGCATTTTGTCCTTAGCTGCTCAATGGTCACAGGTCAACAGAGGACAACAAAGCAACCATGAAGCTTAATCTTTGGCAAATAGTTTGGGTGATTACTAAAAATGTTGTTGGCAAGATGTTTTAACATCAAACTGATGATCCTCTTGGAATTTCGACAATTTTATTCCTGTTTGTAAATCATGACTGTGACAAACTTTAGCATAATAGCACACACCAGCAGGATCTCATGAAGGTAAATATGTTTTCTGTCCCAAATTGTATGTAAATGCTAACAGTAGACTGCTAACAGTCTACTCCAGTAGAGTAAGATTTCAAGTTGAAATATTTACTGTAAAACTGCAATATACAATGTAAGGAATACATTACTTGAATTTCTCACAAGGTTTAAGCATTTATGTATAATGTTTATTTAGCACTGCCAAAGCATTAAATCCACTTTGAGAAAATAAAAGTACACTACTGTTATAGCATGCACTAACATAGCATTTGATAGCTAGTGGATGTACTTGGTAAATGAAGGCTACTAATAAAATAAAGTCTTCTACTGTTATATAATGATATCCTCAGTAGATACATGTTGATGATTAAAAGAATTTCATCAAAAGTTGGAATATTCCCTGCTTTATTTTATATTAGGACAGCTTTTTATTGTTATTGGACTGAGTAGCTTCAGACCTCTTAGTAAAGGTCACAATCTTCTACAGCATGGTTCTTAACTCCATGTCTAACTGCACATAAACCTGTAAAATTACAACTATACACACAGTAAGGATCATCATGTGGATGTTTTTAGTATTTCTTTTATACATATTTAGTATTTCATTATACATATTTATTTTTTAGTGGTTGTTTTATTGTACAGTGTAATTTGTGCATTTACAATATGTATTGCCTTTGGTGCCCTAAAATAGGGACAATGTGTAAAATGGCTATAATAAAGAGTTGAAAGCACAATGTAACTTCAATCATTGTGTACTCTGTATTCTACAATACCACTCTACCTGAAAAAGAGTCGATCACTTGACCTGAAAAAAATAAATCTAGGGAAAACATTGCACATATTTTGAACACTAATCAAATACAGAAACAGGCGTAGATAGTAGTGTTGTGTTAAATTAATTAAAAGTGAAAAGTTTGTACTAGCATAAAATGATACACTATCTCTGCATAAACTTGCGACCAGGTCAGACACTGCGTTGGATCAGAAGGCTTGGCTTGCTATCCCAGAGGTGTTCAGTGGAGTTCAAGGCTCTATGCAGTCCACGGGAGTTTCTCCAGACCAAACTCATCAAATCATGTCTTTATGGAGCTTGCTTTGTGCACAGGGGCACAGTCATACTGGAACAGAATCTTCCCCAAAACTGTTGCCACAAAGTTTGAAGCATATAGTTTTCTTAAATCTCTTTGTATGCTGTAGCATTACTTCTCACTGGAACTAAGTGGCTCAAACCCTGAAAAACCCCAGCCCATTATCCCTCCTCCACCAAACTTTACTATGGGAACTATACATTCTGGTAGGTAGTGTTCTCCTGACATCCACCAAGCCCACATATTCATTATATATATATATATATATATATGGAATGAACTTTGATATATATACAATGAACTTTGATATATATGGAATGAACTTTGATATATATACAATGAACTTTGATATATATGGAATGAACTTTGATATATATACAATGAACTTTGATATAT